AGAGTCCCCAAATAAACTCCAGCCTCTGCTTATCTTTGGTGGGAATGCTGTGGACTACTCTTGTTAATTGGTTTTTCATTCTTGGTTTATGAAAACAGCTCAGAACCCGCCAGAAGGAACTACTCTGAGAGAACAATATTTAATCTCGGAACTTTGTGTCCTCAGGAGCCGTAACCTAATCAGTGGATTTTGTACTGCTTTTTTTTCTCCACAGCCAGGCTTTCAACAGCAAAGAAAACACTTTCAGACAGCATGGGACTGAGCTTTTTTGTGGGTGTGTGTGTGTGTGTGTGTGTGTGTGTGTGTGGGTGTTGTTCTTGGTTTTGCCCCTATCTGAAACCCCGCCCCTTTGATTTTCAGGGACCATGAACCAGTATGAGGCAAGCAGTTGTTTGGAAGGAAATGGGCACAACAGAGGGGCAAGGCCTCTGTCAGTCTGTCCTGCTGCAACCCTGAGCCTGTCAGAGCGAGCAAGTGCTACTGCAAGCTTTGGAAAGCAAGTGGGTGGCGAAAAGAGGATACTCTCTGTAGAAAACAAAAATTGTTTGGTGTTTGGTGTAACAATACACAAACAGCTTTTCTGCAATCCAGCCTCCCTGTGGAGATCAACAGTACCTATTCCTCTGCCCTCACCTCGTAGGAAATGACCCAGACACCAGAGTGCGCGGCATACTTTTATTCGGTGGCCCTGTGGAACATTTTACAAAACTCTCCCATCTTCCAGCTCATTGGCCCAGAAAAACGGTCTGCAGCACACACAGGAAGAGTGTGTGCACGGGCTTGGGAATCAAGCAAACCTGCGTTTGCAGTGGGCTTCACCGCCTGCTTGCCCCGCGATCTTGAGCAAGTGACTAGTTAGCCTCTCTCGCCTTCCACTAGTTCCTTGGCAAATAGGAGTAAGGTTTTGGAATGGCATAAATAAGATCACCTGTATAATGTATCACAGAGAATGTCAGACACACGGAAGGATATTGAATCGGATGAGACCCAGGCGGCGTTGAATCTGCAGAAATGATCCTAGTTTGAGGGCTAAGTTGCCCGCCCCAAGTAGAAGTGCTCTAGGGATCTGGGTCCGCTCTATGGCTGGCAGGAAGGTAGGGTTCATGATCAAAGCAGAGAGGCGGAGGGCAGCCTTTTATGTGGCGTGAAGAGTTCTCGGTACATTATTCTGCTTCCTATGGAGGCGATGCTGCAAAGTGAAATTCTTAAGTCTTAAAAATGATTGGTATAGTTGCAATTTGATGATTTTTGACCCAAAACCCAACCAGGAAAGATGCCATCCTGAAGTGTGCCAGTGATATGCCTCATTCTATTCTAAACCAATCACTGCTCTAATCCAAGCTGCCCCAAGTTCATGACCCTTCTGTCACCAGGACCTCAGCTAGCCTTTGCCCCAGGGCCAGGTCACCGGACTTGGACGTGTCACACAGCTCAAGGCTGCACTCTGTGTATCTGGTGTCTCTCCCAGGCCCACCCCTCACTCCCATTGGTGGCACGGAGAGAGAAGGCAGCTTCAGGAACTGGGGGTGGGGTCAGTCCTGGCAGAGAGTCTGAGCCTCCTCTATTGTGCATGACTAAGCCAGAAGAACCAAAGTGGAGAAAGGTCGGGAAGGGTATTCCTATGAGCCACGGTACAGTGGTCAAAGGTCTTTTGAGGAGTGCCTATTGGCTTCCCTAAAAAAAATTTGGGATTTCTCCCCCCCAAGCAATGAGTTAAAGATTAATTTAGCAGCTACTGCGTGCAAACTCGGTGAACATGGTTACTCGCAGGCTGCTGTTGAGTCAATC